GTGAGTGTGTGTGAGTGTGTGAGTGTGTGAGTGTGTGTGAGTGTGTGTGAGTGTGAGTGTGTGTGTGAGTGTGTGTGAGTGTGTGAGTGTGTGAGTGTGTGTGAGTGTGTGTGAGTGTGAGTGTGTGTGTGAGTGTGTGTGAGTGTGTGAGTGTGTGAGTGTGTGTGAGTGTGTGTGAGTGTGAGTGTGTGTGTGAGTGTGTGTGAGTGTGTGAGTGTGTGAGTGTGTGTGAGTGTGTGTGAGTGTGAGTGTGTGTGTGAGTGTGTGTGAGTGTGTGAGTGTGTGAGTGTGTGTGAGTGTGTGTGAGTGTGAGTGTGTGTGTGAGTGTGTGTGAGTGTGTGAGTGTGTGAGTGTGTGTGAGTGTGTGTGAGTGTGAGTGTGTGTGTGAGTGTGTGTGAGTGTGTGAGTGTGTGAGTGTGTGTGAGTGTGTGTGAGTGTGAGTGTGTGTGTGAGTGTGTGTGAGTGTGTGAGTGTGTGAGTGTGTGTGAGTGTGTGTGAGTGTGAGTGTGTGTGTGAGTGTGTGTGAGTGTGTGAGTGTGTGAGTGTGTGTGAGTGTGTGTGAGTGTGAGTGTGTGTGTGAGTGTGTGTGAGTGTGTGAGTGTGTGAGTGTGTGTGAGTGTGTGTGAGTGTGAGTGTGTGTGTGAGTGTGTGTGAGTGTGTGAGTGTGTGTGTGTGTGTGTGTGTGCAGCAGATGGTGCAGAGAACTAGTGGGATCAATCGTCATTTGGAGTTGATCAGTTTTGCAGTTTAATCCCTGCTGCTCCTCCAGTGGATGAAACAGCGGGATGAGTTATGAGTTTACAATCACACCTATAGCTGCAGGAACACAGGAACACCTGTGAGTCTGAAACCAGCTCCTTTCATTTAAACAACCACACACTGACTCAGACTTTTCCTTTCACCAGCTATTCATCATAACTCCGGTTATTTCAGTTTTAAGATCATTTTTATTTGAATTGTAACAGCAGAAGAATTTAAAGCTACTGAAAATAAAGTTTTTCTCTCTTGCCAGAGGTTGATGAAATACAACTTCAATCTTTTATCTTTATTATTTTTAGTGAATTTATTTTGCTTTTGATTTTATTTTTTTCCGGCAGAAATCAAGTTGTGAATATTTAAGTTGATATGTTGAGTAGTGTTGGTGCATATTTCAAGTGCCAACGCAAAATTCAAGATGGCCGCCATGACCCAGGATGAGACAAACAGGGGCCCCGGAGCTCCTGGCAGGTTAATCTGGTTTTACACTACACTCCAATCAACTCCACCAATCAGAGTTTGGGTGAGGCTGTAATCACTTCCACCAATCAGGAATGAGGTAATGAAGAAGGGAAAGAAAGAAAAATGCCAGCCCAGCAGCGCATTATGTTTTACGGCCTGGTTGTGAATTCATTAGTGCTTAATTTGAATAATAAAACAGTAAAACCCGGCTGGGATTAAATCTGTATGTGAGAGCTGAATCTGAAGAGTTGCAGCCAAGGTGATTAAGTGGCTAATGGCTGCTTTCAGTGGCATTACATCTGCATTCGTGTATGTTGCAGCTCCTGGCCTCTCTCCTGGTCTCACTGTGTCGGAGCAGCAGCAGCAGCTTCAGGTCTGATTCGCCACGCTGAGGGTCCGACTGTGAACGGGCGTCACACCAACATCACTGCAGCGAGGACAGAACGAGACGTCGTGCTGAGGAGAACAGAGAGGGACTGAGGGACGGGACGACCAGTGTGAAGAATATGTGGCTCTCAGTCAGTCGGTGGCAGCGGAAAGTAACAAATTACTTTTACTCTCCTTTCTGTAACAAGGTCGTTTTCTTTTGGTGTACTTGTACTTTTTGGAGTATTTAGAGAACTCAGTAACTTTACTTGTACATAAATATTTTTTAACTCAAGTATTTTTCTTCCATTTAAAGTCGAAATCAAATGATGAAGTTACGATGAACAAACGTAAAGAGTCAAATCAGCAGCTGCAGCAGAGAAGAAGCTCCCAAATCAAACACACCTGCCGTGTTGCGTGACCAACAGGTGCATGCTGGGAGTGGCTAACGCTAAATGCTAAAATACTGCCGGTGGATCCTGAGAACCAGAAGAACAGCTGGATTTAGAGACGCAGAGCGACGTTCAGACAGGTGTGTGCAACACTGTACGACATCAACAACTACTGCGTTGCCTAGCAACGTAGCTTTTTGTCTGTGTTTGAGTTCATATTGTTCATACACCTCTGCTGCTTTTTTAACCAACCACGTCTCATTCTCGCGGACACGACATCTCAGTAACGCCGTGACATCATCAGCTTCACTACATCCTGAGAACACGTCCTAAATTAAAAGCGAATCCTGCTGTTACATTGAATGCTGTTAATAAGTAAACAACTTATTCTTTGCACCTTTTATGAGAAGCGTTTTAATTTGGCACACTGAGAGTCAACAGGAGCCCGGCAAACATAAAGCAGCACTCGAGGCTCCGGCTGCAGCGAGATGTAGAGTGATGTCTCCCTGGATGAAATGTACGATGGATGGTAATTACAGGCGAAGGCAGAGGGAGAGCGCCGGACGAGGATGGCCCCCCTGTTATTATGTAAGCTAATGAAGGCTGCGGCTCTGATCTGCTCTCCTCCCTCCATCACTGACGGATGGAGGGAAACAGGCAGCACAGTTAATTTAGACCACAGCCACATATCCACTCCTGGCGTGTGTGCCTGTGTGTGTGTGTGTGTGTGTGTGTGAGTGTGTGTGTCATGACTAAATCAGGAAGGTGTTCACATCACACAGACGACTAATTTTCGTCCCTGTTCAGGGCGACAGCCACCGACACTAAAGCAAGAGCAGAAGCGAAGAATGAAACGATGAAATTAAAGTTTGTGTTTCGTGTAAATTATGTGTTGAATTTAAAATGTCTTGACTTTGGTGACCCCCAGTGGCAGTTAAAAACAACACATCAGTGAGCACCATGATTGTTTCATGTGTCGTGATGAATTATTTGACACATAGATAAAGAGAAATCTACAGAGGAGCTCGAGTATATCGTCCAGCAGTCGGGTCGCTAACTCTGAACATGCTGCTATTAGGAAGGTGCTAAATGTCACAAGCTAATATCTAATAATATCTGTCCAGCTGATCGGCGACTGTCCACTGACGGTTCCCTGCTTTTATTTTGTAGTGTTGTATAGTCGGATTCTGCTGTATAAACTGTATAAACTCCTTCAACAGTGACTGTACGGAGACTGAAATGAAAGTCATCCTCCACAGCACTGAGATCACACACGCTGCTCGCCATTAAAACCTTCGTATCTGCCTCCGTCGACGGCCGGCGGCCTGGGACCAGAACCGGGTCTTAAGTGATCACACAGGGACCTCTGCCTCCGCTCTAAATGAAACCTTATATATGGTTCTGCTTGGTGATTGAAGATCCTCGTGGACCTTGAGTCGTTTTTGTTTGACTGTATCTATATTACACTGCGAATTACTCCTGAGGATTAAATGAATAAAAGCACCAGCCTCTGCTCTTCCTGTCCTGGACACATCTGCTGCAGATGTTAGTCCCAAACCCTCTGACTCCATAAACATCATGGATCAGGGACCTTTCAGTCCAGTGGCTGCAGCCTTTGATTCCGACTTCCTCCCGCTCCTCAGCACCACATCAAACAAACGCTATATTTACATGTTTCTGCCAATTAAAGCACACGTCACGTCACTCCCATCAGCCCGAGACCGACAGTGAAGCGTCCGACTCATCCACACAGACAGAGACACAGCTGCAGCAGGATTCACATTCACACATCGTCTAACTGCTTTTACATCATGGTTTTGATGCCGTTTCCTGTTTCTAATCATTATTTTCTTCTCTAGTGGATAAACTGTCGCAATGATTCGATCCCCAGTGTTTGACAGTTCTGTGCTTCAGTGAACGTCACAGTAAATCATGCTCACCTGTGACTAAACACGTGGAGGTGTAATGGCGTCCAGATTCTGTTCATAATGTTGTTAATGGACGCGTCTGATTTGTTTAGCTCCTGCGTTTCTCTCTACACTTGGTTGACGTCAGGCGAAGGTCGCCGTCTGGAGTCATTTACGAAAAGAAAAAAAAAATGTAGCTCTTCCTCCGCTCTAAAAACACGTCGCCTCTAGACATCATCCAGGAACGTTTGGACGTTTTACCTTTCATCCGCTAAAACAAAGTACAACGTCCTCGTGGCGTCAGCTCAGGTCAACGTGCAGGTGCAAACAGGAGCAAACATCACAGACTAAACAAACGGACCAAAAGCTCCCAAAACATCTGTAGAAAACATATTGTCCAAACATCTGTCGAATGCTGAGGAAGTATATTTCAAACACATTTTATTAAATCGCACTGAGAGAAGATTCTGGACGACGTTTACGGAACTTCAGCGCTAAAAACTACCATCACCTCCTCGTGGTCGTTTCCTCCAACAACCTGTCAAGTTACAGGAAATATGCTCACACCCTCTCCTTCCTGAGTTGAGCTGAGAAATGCGTCCTTCTTTACCTCGATCCAACATATCCCAAGATTCATTGCGCCTCAGTAACGAAAGCCAACACTGACAGAGAGCCTGAGGATCACACTGTGAAGTCTAAGTATTGTGTTTCCGTTCAACAGCTGACGGTCCCGATGTTAAAACCAAGAGACTTACAACAAAAGGGTTTTGTGGAAAGAAAGGTACGTGTTATCAAGGTTGCTAGGCAACAGGAGCCGCGCTTTACGACGCAACAGTAGCAACAGTAAGGGCGGGAACAGCTGGTGATTTCAGTTCGACATGACTCCGCCGAAGACTGTCGCCGCTGCCGGGGCATAACAACAAGGGCCTCAGCCCCACGTGCACACCGCCGACATGCACATGCACACATACATTAAGTAAAGAATTTAAATAGAAGGAAAATGCAAAGGGCAGAATCAATATGTTGAACACAGTGAAACAACAACACACACTAGAGCAATCTGTTAGAGCTTCACACACACACACACACACACACACACACACACCTGTCCACCTACCTCAGGCTGCAGAACGAACGATGCAGAAGAGTTTGTTGATCCGGAGAGGAGGATGAGGTGGAGGACTGGATGGGTGGATGGGAGGAGGGTCGGGCGGTCGGGTGCGTGGATGGATTCGAAGCGATCAGGTTCGGGTCACAGGCTGATGTGTCCCAGACAGATTCTTCTGCAGATCTGAACACGGCAGGAAGCGATCGATGGGAGGAACGTCGGGGGTTTTGATCCACCAGGCAGAAAGGAGACAGACAGAAAACTCAATCTGCAGCTCACAGCGGTGATTCAACCACAACCACATCACACGGACTCAGGTCCAAACACACAGAAGTTCCTGTAACTCTGACGGAGGCCCACACAACTTCCTCAAAGACAGACCATGCTGTTAATGTAGTTTTCTGTCTGACTGACGCTGCTGATGCAACACTGTTGATTCCTTTATTTACTGTGGGGCCTGTTTCTTCGCTGCTTTGTTTGTGTCACAGACACGATATCTCAGTAACGCCTTGAAGGAACGTCTTCACATTTGGCACAAACATTCGCCAGGACTCAAGGATGAACTGATTAGAATTTGGTGGTCAAAGGTCAAAGGTCAAGGTCACGGTGACCTGCCAAATCATGATTTTGTCCTTGGGAATGCGATATCTCCATAACACCTTAACAGAACGTCTTCAACTTTGGTACAAACATTCACCCGGACTCAATGAAAAACAGAGTACACTTTTGTGGCTAAAGGTCAAAGGTCAAGGTCGCGGTGACCTCACAAAACACTTTTTAGCCATTACTCAAAACTTACTCAAAACACGCAGCAATTATGACAAAATGTCACACGACTGGTTCATATGTTCTCTGACTCTGGATAAACAGGGATGTGACCTGGAACTAGTCTGAGCGGCGGAGGGATACGACCACGAGGAGGTGGTTCTAGTATCTTCAAGCTTCAAGTTAAAAAACATGAGAGGAAACTGATTTCTGAGTACAGCTGTGCAGATGTGTCACCTGAGGAGTGAAAAAATAAAAGGATAAAAAGCACATCTCTCAATCTTCCATCAAATCTCCTTCAGAAGGTGAGATTTCAGCTCCGTCCAGATGGTTTCAGACTGAGACGTGTGACAACAGAGCTGCCTTCAGTCTGAGCACAGCCAGGGTCTGATGACTTGATAGTGTCTGATAGTGAGAAAGCAGATGTGGCACTGGATTGAGACTGGATAAAAAAGCATTTAGGAGCCGAGTGTGAACACCGACACTGACAGCAGCTTCTGCTGATCTGCACCACTCACACTGAAAGATCCAATAAGACAGAGAGAGTTCGTCCAGTCAGCTGGGACTGAAGGAAATCCTCCGTTATTGATCTGTCGCTTCTGTAGAGCCGTCCATCACACACACACACACACACACACACACACACACACACACACACACACACACACACACACACACACACTTCTACTTCTTTACTTGTTCGGATCCTCATTGGCATAATCCATTCCCTAACAGGAGTTACAACCCAGCAGCTGCCTTTCAGTCTGAGTCTGTGTAAAACAGCAGAACGACGACACCGATGAGACGATGTAGCGGGGGTTAATTAGACAGAGAAAAGCGACACAAGTGGCTCAATTAATGTTTATAAGAGCTGATTAATTCATTAGTCAGTTGTCATAAATTAATCGGCAACCCTTTTAATGATCAGTTAATCAGACTCCACTGTGAGATCAAACTGCTTTAGTCTCATGTGATAGTTGAGTTTATCTATTTATTCATGTATAAACTCTAACAGGGACGAAGCAGTTTAACATTGTTCCAATACAAAGCATGAACTGAGGTGTTGCACAGAGAGTTTAGAGCTAGTTGCTAATCTTCAGCTCTCCTCCCTGGTTGGGCTTTTACATGGACAGTGTCAGTTTTCACCATCATAAAACCAAAAGAGTAAAATACTGTATTGAAATGCTTTGACTGTGACAACAACAGAACAAACAGACAAAACGAATGATAATATCATAAAATTATCTCAAGATATACAGATGTCCACTCTGAGAGGAGACGACAACACGAGCTACAAACAGTCAAACAAAAACCATCAATAGATATAATGAGCTAGACACAGGGACAGCTCTGGTTCGCTTTTAGCAGCACATAACCTCGTTCAGCTACAGAAGCACAACACATTAAATCTGCTGTTGTTATGAATTAACAAGATAATTATCTCAGAATTTTGAGATAATTATGTAATTTATTTTTTTCCACTGAAAAATCCTGTTTTTCTGAATTAATGAGATAGACTTCATTATAATACACACACACACACATACACACACACACACCTTCAAACTATTCACGACACTTTCTAAATCAGCATATACCTGAGTGCTTATAGACATACAATGTAAACACAATCTCCGCATCAGACACACACACACACACACACACACACACACACACACACACACACACACACACACACACACACACACACACACAGCAGTGCCATTGACCTTTACACTAAAAGACAGCAGGACATCAACAAACAGGATGTGTCTCTGACCTTTCACACATCCACTGCTAAAGAGCATACTGTTCACAGACACACACACACACACACACACACACAAACACACACACACTAATATCAGAGGCTTCCTGAATTGATTAAATTGAAATGGCATTAACACAGAACTCATTCTGTGTGTGTGTGTGTGTGTGTGTGTGTGTGTGTGTGTGTGTGTCTCTGAACAGAGATGTCAGCTCCGCTCTGACGTCTCATCAGTGTGTTTCAGTGTGATTCGTCAGCCTGGCTCAAACTGACCTAGAGGTCAAAGGTCACATCAAACACTTCAGCCTCTCTGGTTCTACTGTGTTTGAACATCTGACTCATTTTCACTAACAGACGTAGTGCATTGTGTTTATACAAGCGAGTCGTTTTACTTTTTTATTTCTTATTTACATCTTCGTCCGTAGCTTTTAGCCTTTTACCCTCAGGAGGAAACAGCTGACCTGGCTCTGCCAGAAGTTCAAAACTACACCGACCAACTCCTCTGTGAGCTCAATACTTTACATGCTGTATTAACATTTGTTCAATCTGCACACAAAAAGAAATGTAAATTCTTGTTGAACAATAGTCACTGCAGCGTCCTGAGCTGGCCTGAAAGAAATACCAGCCTCAAAACACCAAAATACCACAACAAAAAACATCCAAAGCTTTCTGTCACCATGAACCATAAATAACCCTAACCCAACTTTAGCTTCTGGCTAAATCATTTAACTAAAGTAGTTTCCGCACGCACGCACGCACGCACACGCGCGCTCTGGTGTTTTAGAAAGGCAATGTGTGAAATACTTTAGTGTGCAGTTTTTAAAACCACCAGAAACTCTTCCACCTCATTGTAAAGTTGCTTTTATCTCATATTGAAGCCACTTGAAGGAGGCTGTTGGAGGCAGGTGTGTACATGAGGTTTAGTGTCATGTCTGTAACCCTGACAGTCATGATGAAATGATCAGGTCACAGTCAGGTCACAGTCTATCTCCTGGTGAGGTAACCTGACAAACATGTGCACACAGTAATACACGGCTCCACACAGCTCCGTGATGACTCACATGCACATTAGTTTTGTATGTGCTGGTTAAAAAATAGTGTTTTAAAATAGTGTATTAAAATACAACACTTTTAAAAAGCTAGCTGTGCAGCTGCAGCTCTGTCAGGTGTGTTTGTAGCACAGCAGCTAACACGCTGACCCACAACAAGGACACGTTTGGAGGGAAATAACGCGCTGTGTGAGCCGACATGCCGCCGGTTTGTGTCCTATAGTCGGGTACTTTCACCTCACAGTGTCATTCATTCATAAAAAACCCAACATATCTGTTTAAAGTGGATTTTTAAGAGATTAAAATCAACGAAGCTAACTCACCTTGTGTCAGACTCCAGCGTTGTGTTGCTGTGAGGGCAGCGGGGGCGCGCCTGTGTAGCGACACGACTGTAAATATTATTTAAATCTTGTTTAAAATTAACTTGACGTTGTTGTGGGGACTTTTTATAATAATATCGCTCGTACGTGTGGATGTGAATTTAAATTGATCAGCACAGGAAGAGTAAGAAAAGAGGAAATGTCGACAGGCGCTCTTTGGACACACGTCATCAGGGGTCCTGAAATCAAACGGTCGCGCAACAGCGGTGTTCGCAGCATAATGGCGGCGTCCACACGAGCGCAGGTGATTTCTCTGTACAAGACAATGCTGAGAGAGAGCAGCAAGTTCCCTTCGTACAACTACAGGTAAGAGACGACCCGCGGCTCGTCCGCCCGGTGCTGCGGGCCGGTTTAAACCGGCTGTCAGCGGCTGAAACATGCTAATGTAGCAGCTAACGGTTGTGTTTACATCAGCCTCCGGTCAGATCCAGTATGATGTAACCAAACATAACACAGCATGTGGCAGAAAAACCCAATTCAAACTCGTGTCAGCGTCATGTAGTGTTTTACTTTGTGTGTCCAGTGTTCAGTTAGAGACGCTGTGTTGGTCGTGTGGGAGTTGGTTGTGTTTTTATCACAGTGTCATCAGCGGTGTGTCTGTGGTCGTTTAAAGGACCATTCCGGAGGTTTTCACTCACTTGTCAGTTACGCACCAAAGTAAAGAACACACCGCCTATAGAGATCAGAGAAGACAGCCGGTAATTATATTTACAACAAAAAACTTCTCTTCATTTTAGTCTTAAACTTGCTTTGATTTTCCCAGTACGGACACCAATGCACCGCTGCAGCTCTTATAAAATAATAATAACTTTATTTACACCATTAAAAACACAGCATACAAAACGGTATAAAATTTGAATATCATGATTATAGTGACCCAAATTATCATGGTTATCAGTATGATCGTGGTATTGTTAAAATGTGCTGAAATGTTCATAAAGTAATAACTTTCACTTTCAAGTTTTATTATGGAAACCACTAATAAATAATTAGCAGCACTTTTTGTTTGCATTTAGACATTAAAGTAATAACATTTCCAACACATCTTTGTCACAGATGAGGACAGGGGACCAGTGACAGTACACGGTTATCCACCACGGTCATAGTGATAATTAAAATTTAAACTGTAATACCAACCGTCTGGCATTTTTAGAGTGAAACTGGTAACTGTTCTACCTCTATTTACAAAATGCTCTGACATCAAAGCAAAAGTAATAATGATCAAAATACTGCATTCTATTTTTATTATTAAATTTATAATTGTTATTATTCAGTTGGTTTTAATTTCAACCTTAAATTGTGCGTTTGTGTATTCAATTTTCATCTTTACTTTATTTGTATAATTATCAAGTGGGTTTTTTTCCATCAATTTTCATGTGAAACATTTGGTGCATTTAATGTCTTCATTATAAAGCACTTTGAGCTGTATTTATTGTATGAAAGATCTTCTACAAAAATAGATTATCATCATCATTATTATTATTATTTCCTACTTCTATAGAGAGAATGAGATTCAACACTACTATGTTTTTTTTTTATTGAATTTATTCTAACATTTGCTATGAAACAAAAAACAAACAAAAAAAACATAGGAACATTTTTTAATGTATTACATGAAGTCACAGTATCTGGGCCAATCAGGGCGGAGGGTTTACCTGCTGAGAGGTGATAGAGACACATATATGACGTCTTTTACTCCGTCTTGAGATGTGACCATAACAGACATTTGTCATTCGGTACCAAGGAACTTTTGTACTCCAAGCTCATCTGCACAACTCAAATTTTAAATATTGAAATTGTTCCTAAATACATTGTCTGCTCATAAATTATACCATTTATTATTATACCAAGATTATTGCTGATTTTTAAAAGCTTATATTTCTATTCTATTTATTTTCAAATGGCATAGTCCTTTCACATTTATAGCTAAGACTTAAGAATTTCACTATTGTGACAATAAAGGATTTGAACTTGAACTTGATTATCAGAATCAGCTTTATTGGCCATGTGCATTAAAGGAATCTGATCTGGTTTCCAGAGGCTCTCAGTGAGCTTACACACAGTACTAAGTACTAACAACAGTGTCCAGGGAAGCGGACATACACAGCAGAACCAGGGACAACAGAGCTGAACAAAGATAAATAAACATAAATACACATAAATATACTGTTGACACTGTATAAGATAAGATATTCCTTTACGAGTCCCACACTGGGGAAATTGCAGTGTCACAGCAGCAAAGTGGACAGACAGGTCACAGGGTTTATTAGTGAGTGTGCTGTTGTTACCGTAGCAGGTTCAGAGCCAGAGTCCGTGGCCTGGTTTGTACCTGACCACTGACCTGATTATTTGAGTGGCGGCGTCCTGCTGCTCAGGTCCCATCAGGCCTCAGTGTGTCCTGCCTTAATGACTGTGACACGCTCTGCATTTGTACTGGACATGAGTCCCACCTGCTGCTGTTAGAGCTCATCCTGTTGGAAGAGCTTCACACTGAGGCTGGAGTCATGTTGAACTGAATCTGCTGAAGCTGCACCTGTTTATATTTCTCATATCGTGTCTCTGAACTGTTTATATCGAGCTGTGTTTTCAGTTACCTCACTGCATTTATTAGAACTGCAGAGACGCTCCTTCTGTCTTTTTTATTTCTGTTGCATCAATAAATTTATGTTCAGGTTTCTGTTAGATTGAGTGTTGAATGGATGAGATTGTTGAGAGGATGTTCTGTGGTGAAACGATGACGGGGCAGTTTGCTCCGTGACCAGCAGCAGCAGTAGCAGCAGGCGTCTGAAGTGTTTCTCCGTAGCTTTAAAGTGAACAGCATATGTTGTACATCAGCAGCTTCTCATGAAGCCACAGTCTGGAGGTTTAAACTCACTTTGTTGCCACAAACTCTGCACTGGAAGCTAAAAAGTGCTCGTCTCAACTCCCTCATCGTCATCAGTTCTCCTGCAGCAGTGTCGTGTGGAGGGTGTTTCTTAGCACTGCGTGGTAAAGCTTGTTTCTGTGTGTGTGTGTGTGTGTGTGTATGTGGTTGGGGTGAAGTTGGGACAGCGTTTTCAACTGTCACAACACGTGGTGCTCCACAGTGATATCAGAGAGCCGCCGCTCCCTGCTAGCCTTCATGTGGACCGCTGCTGTGCTGAATTATTGAGCAGCCACATAAGAAATGGCCGCCTCCAGCTGCCGTCACAAACCACATACATCCCAGAGACGGGCGGCCAGTTCGGTCCAGGGGTTCTCCTCCTGTGTGTGGAGGCCTGGCAGGAAAAACAAACACACTTCCTTCCTTGAATCACTTCCTTATATTATGGACAAACACGATGTAGATGCAAGAAGTTGAAACTGTAGAATAGAAATATTTTTCATTATCTTGTCCTGCGTACGTTGACTCCATGTTTTTCCTTGAGTCAGATGAAGCACATGAACTGATCCCGTCTCATTGTTAAAACAATTGGACAGTGCGCTGCATTGTTGTACCTGGTGCAGAGTCAGAGGGTTGATTAGGTTTTTCTGGTGTAATTTAATTGTAATGTAATTCGCTCAAATGACTTTGCAATAGTCCGATAATGAAGTGTTTCAGATGTGGTATTAGTTGTGCCTTCGCTGCCTGTTTTGCTGCTGAATTATAAAGTATCCGACACCAGGCTCATCACAGCCGTTTGCTGCCTGTAGCACACGCGCTGACGTCCATCACACAGATGGAGGAAGTAATCAAAGGTGCAGATCTGAAAAGCAAATGAGATAAAATTGCTGCTTTTCTGGGGAGTTTGTCGACACTGCGGGCGGAAAAGGACGACGGTGTGTCACGCATCAGTATGCCGCCGCGTGTGTGTGTGTGTGTCGCCCTCGTGGTAATTGCGTTTTACAGCAGCAACACGCATCCTTCCCTTTAATCACAACTTTGCCAAGTGTGGCATCAAATCCAAAATAGTAACGTTAGTTTTCAGATAACTTCCTGTCACGATCAGCCATCGATCACGGCGCGATCGTTCCTTTTATTTTGTGTTAATGAACCGTGATGGCAAAGTATCACCCCGCCTGCTGCACCAAGACACTTTGAGGTTTGAAATCAAATCTTTAACTTGTATCACAGAGAAAGGTTTGTTAGATTTACTGATACCCAGAAAGCAAAGCATCTTGATTCAGGGTGAATGCGGCTGCCTCGTCTCAGCCACAGCTCCGCCATATATGGGCCAGACGTCAGGTGTGGTGTGCACCAAATCCAGGCAAATCAAACTAAGCGGCCGTTGTGGATAAGACCTGGGCCAAACCGGGGCCAGAGGAATTAAACTTTCATATTAAATGGGTCAAATGTCAGACATTTCATGGCCTTGGTGGCCTTGGGTTAGGACCATGGCCATGGTCCGATCGTTCCATGGCCATGGTCCTAACCCTAACCCTACCGTTCGCTCGCCCCATTTTTTGTTATTCATGAGTGTTTGTGATGTCTAGGGATGGTACCGAAACCCGAGGCAGAATTTGTAAAGCCTGGAGTATCGATAAGTTCAGGTCTCACCAATAAGAGTTCTGCCAAAGACCCGGATCGATGAGTGGCATCGATAAAAGTAGCAGATACCGTTAAAATCTCAACGATAGCCACCCCTGGTGATGTCAGTCGTTAGTGTCACAGAAGCTCAGACCGTGTTTCCGGCTTCTCTTCTGTTTCTGGAAAGAAAAACCATCATGAAGTTTTGTTTTTCAAAAAAAAAAGTCAACAAGAGAGAGCTTGTTTTAATCCTGTTGTGGATTTCCCTCATAAGCAGCAGTCTGTGGTGGAAACAGTGGGTATGGCTGCACTTGTTGGATTGTTGTGGGATGACCTGAATATGCCAGACGTTGCTGCAGGCTGTATTTTGTTCTCTCTCTCTGACTACAATAACAGCTGATGCAGGCGCTCGCAGCTTTTCCTGGGAGGAAAGGTGGGAGAGTTTGGCTGAATTTGGAGAGAGAGAGAGAGAGAGAGAGAGATAAACAGAAGTGAGATGAATCGTTCTTGATTCTCTGCAGGAACATTATGTCACCACAGAATCTAACAGTAACAGGAAACAGAACATAAACACGAATGAAATTTAAACACAAATGTAGAAGGTTTGTGTTTTTATGAACGTTACAAACTTTATTTCAACACTGGAAAATGCTGAGAACAACAGATGAAAGCGTCATGGAGGAAAGACAGAGAGGAAAGAGCTGTATGGAGGATTTATTGGAGACCAGAGACCTTGAAGCTGAAGTGAGACCCTGAAGGCGGGAACATATATTACATGGACATAAAACAAGAGTCGGAGCCCTGGAGAATATATTAGAGA